TAGTTTATTTTTTGCAAATTCATTTTTGAAAATCACAAATCAGCCACATAATCCAATAGCATCTCAGTGCTGCATTGCCCCACAAAAAAAGTTAGCACAGGCCCACCACGTCATCCCTGTTTCTCCTATTTTCCTTTTTTTAAGCTGAGCAGCTGCCAAGTCACAACTCATCAATTTCTGGTTGGGAATGTGATCTCACACTTAAGGCCATGAATGATGCGCACACCAAAATTATCAAGGCAAAGTACGTAGAGTTTGGCTAAAGCACACGCACGCTCTCTGAACTAGTGCTTGGTCTCGGCTAGAGGCAATCTCTGCCGTGCTGCATAAGCAAATGCCATCTTCACTCCCTCAGATGGCTGCAGGTGACTGAAGCGGAGCGTGCGGGAAGCCTCCAGGAGCTGGGACCAGAGCAGAAGGCATTGGAAGAGTCCCAGCGCAGCCTGGCGGGTGAGCCCTGACAATACACCGGTCCGCCCCGCAGACTCCGTGGAGCATATCGCCGTGTGCGAGCTCTGGGCCCGGCTAACTGCCAGGCGAGGTCAGGCTCTCACCAGGCTTCATCTCCAAAACCAAAAATTTGATATCGAGCGCTAAAACTGGTCCAAAGTAAACCTCCTGTTTATTTTTTGCCCTGTACGTTAGACAGGCACACTTATGACGACGTTAGCACACAGTGGTGTGCAGCTGTGGGATTTGAGAGACAACCCAGCTGTAAACAGCCATGTGCCTGTTCCTCTGAAAAATGTTTATTATGTTAATTTCAAAAATTCAGTAACATTATGCGTTGCTGATGCTGACAATCCTGAGTCTGAGGACATGACCGTTTAATAAAACCCTGTTTTTCCCTAGGGTTAAAACAATGAGACTAATATTTTACAATAACTTATACTATCCTTTCTAATTTATTTTTTCTTTGGTCCCTAGAAAGGAGATCTTTTGTACTTAGTAATTTTGTGAGCATCATCTTCCTTTCATTTGTATTGAAAAGAAAGATTGACTTACAAAGCTTTTGTATAAAACTTTATTTCTGTGTTGTCGTACCTTTAAAATTATTGGATTCTGTTGTTCTTCAGAAGACTTACGTTTTTTCTGAAGTAGAGCTGATGCATATAGAAATGTGCTGTACTCTGTAACTGAAACTTTCCTTTTCTGCTATTTTGGTTTTCCCTAGTCTAAAACACAGCACGCTGGTTCTTGGCAAACAGTTGCTCTATGTATGGAAAATAGCTGTGGTACAGCTGTGTGGAGCCCTCGGGGAACTTCTGATACTCTTTTAAGAGGCAATCTGGAGAATGTACAGCGTCAAAAAAATTGGGCCTTTACAAAAGCAAGATGCCTGTCGAAGAGATAAGCATTGCTACTGCAGAGTTTGTCTGAGGAATGTTAAATAAGGGATATCATTTCCAGCTTAATGAGACACCTGTCTTGAGCCACTGTTCTTTCTTACTCTCTTTGCCGTCTCAGACAAACAAACGGCTGGTGATGTTGGAATTTTACTTCCCTCTGTGGCTCCTAGCCTCCACACTGCCATGTGTCACAGACTCGCTATCTGGCCCTGCTTCTGCCTCTCATACATGATTTCACTTCCGTTTCCAGTTCTGCAGCAAAGCTCGAAGCCCACTGCTTGCTCCGCTCCTCCGGCAAATCCCCCGCAGGGCACAATGTCCGGCGAAGCGGCGAGAGGTGGTGCGGAGGCAGGTGGGGACCCTCCCGGCCTGGTCCGGCCCCTCAAACTCCTGCGTGTGGCCGCCAGCTCCTTTCCAGCAGATCAGTTTGGAGCAGGGGGAAGAAAGTGCCCCCTTCCCTGGGGGGAGCAAACTCACTGCCACCGCAGGCTCTGACCACACCACGCGCTCAGAGGTGGAGAGTCACCAGTTAGTCCATGGACGCCGGCTGCATGTACGGGTGGGAAAAGGAGCAGGCACAAGCGTAGCCCGCGACAGCCCAAACGCGGCAGTGGCAGCTGGGGTGCGGGAAAGCGGCAGGGCTTCTGTCATCTCCGTGAACGGCACCCCTGACCACCACGGCTTTGCGCGCTGGCCTTTTTTTGTGTTGTGCGGCATTTACCTTGAGAATGTGACTGATATTCATAATGCAGAGTCTCTGAAAAAGGCTTTAACATAACTACCTTGTTCATTACAGAGCACAAGAAACATATAAAAATCTAAAAAAAAGCGAACACACAGTTCACCCCCCGCTGCTGCAGCTACCTGACCAAGCAAATTCTCGTGCAGACTCTGGGGCCCTTCCTCTCCCCCGTCGTCCCGCACTGGACTCCACTATCACAGCACTGCCACTTTGCCATACCCACTACTCTGTCAGCTTGTACCCAGCAAACTGCCAGAGAAATCCAGTCCCCTGGGCCACACAAACCCTTGATTACCCTCGGCTTGTTGCTCAGAGTCCTCTCCCAGCTGATCTGCTGCTTAGTTGTTTTCTTCCTGGACTTCAGGTCATTGAACACTTTCGAACAACAGCTCCCTCTTACCTTGAGGCAGTGGTTAGCAGTCTTTGAGCAGCTTAGGCCTACTTGAGAAAATGAACGTTTTGCATCTTACTTTGCGTGTTTATTTCTCAGCTTTTAGGCTGTGCCAAGACTCCAGCTATGACATTGTTCTTGCCCTAACAAAGCCAGAGCAGTTTCCTAGCAGGTCTTACTGGCTTGGGCTTCAGGGCCCACCTGTGATGTGCTTCACTGTGGTCCTGGGAGACATAAAATTAAGCCTACAAGTGAATAAGCCAAGTGACTATGGAGCATCCAGCATAACGACCTTCTGCTACAAGCTCCGAGTCACCACCTCACAGATTTTTGAAATTCAAATGACAATAGTGAAGGCAAAAAAACATCTCTGGTACATAGAGTTCCTAGAAGCAATCAGAACTTCTAAGCTGTGTTAAGACAGGCTCCCTCAATTGTTACGCTGGGATTTAATGAGATTTAATTGCACAAAGTGTTATTTAATTTGAAAATAATTAAAAGCCAAGAGCTCAGTTCATCCCCTTGTGACTACAAGGAACTTTACTCCAAGAGTGGTTTACACTAGGCACAGGAGGGCAGTTTTAATGTAAGGCTCCATTTCTCTGATTAGGCTAATGAAGACATGCATGAGGCAAAATTTAACATAGTTCAGGACTTTTCTTTCAAAATACATGCACAAATCAAGTGCTAACCTGTCCCACATTTTTTTTAAAAAAAATACACTGTCAAAAAGAACATTGAAATCATTCTATCAAACAATTTAAGCAAAACACGATCCTCCAGCCCAGGTGCTGCAGGAGCTTAAAAAGCTGCAAAACCATTTTTCAAGGAATTGAAGTGTATGAGTGCCCTCAGATTTACACACAACGAAAATTTGGGCCTAGTTTTTGATTTGGGAAACATTTTCAGTTATTCCTAAAAGCGTGACTAGTCTCTGTCCCCACACTTTTAAAATAGGTAGCTGCACTGACCTCTTTATGTTACTACCTGGACTCGCTAGAGAGGCTTTACAGTGGCCAAATCTTTGAAGAAGAAAAAGAAATTAATTGTTCTCTGTCATCCCATGAGCACCAGTGAGTCGATCTGCATCCAAGGCTCGTTATCCTTTTGACCTTCAGAAGTATGCTAAATTTGTAATTTTGACATGTTCCTCTAAAAATTGCCAACAGGCTTTGGGCCTACAATTTTTTTAGATTATCTTTGCGTTTAGTCTCAAGAGCTTTTTTCTCCCCAGGTGACTCCCTTCGCTTTGTTGGTTTATCACCTAGCAGACCTTCTGTGAAAAGGCAGTTCAGTGGACAGCCAAGGGGAATCCCACCGTGGCTGTTCGCTGCCATTTCTTCCAGCCGGACTGCCAGGAAGCACTTGTCTGAGCTGATAATTGTGCATGAAATATTTGATCTAGAGTAACAGCAAAATTAAATTAATGTTTTAACCAAGTGTGACTGTACATGTTGTTTACATGGCTCTCTAAGTATTTTCAATTATGTTTTGCACAGGGAGATTAGGAATATGCAGTGATAAGCCAGGAGCACTGAATCTGTTGAGTGACTGTTCCTTTAATGACTTCAAGCAAAAGAAAAATGAAGTTTCCTTCCTCTGTAATGAGAGAATCATGACACTTACCTGGGTTCACACGCAGTTTTGTAAGAATTAAATGATGTGTTTTCCTACTGAAATTTGTAAATTTTATCCATGTATGGGATAGCACAAGATTTTGTGCATTTAGAAGAAAATTATCAGTTTGCAGAGTTCAATAGAAGAAAATATTTTCCACCTTGTCAACTATTAATTATCTTTTTTATTTGTTCTAAAAACAGTAGGCTAAAATCCAGCGAGAAATAGTAAAAACATCACAACCGTAACGTACAAAATCTCATAATGAAAGAAAAAAAAATTCTGTACCAATTAAAATCTACAAGGTTGGAGGAAAAGCATCTAAGTATTTTCCAATTCTGAAAACAGGTCAGATGCATTCATGGAAGCAGTCCCTTTAAATAACAGTAAGCATAAGAAATAGCTGTGCAAGCACGCAGTATTTTAAGCTTTAAGAGTAAACAGACCGTGTTTTCTATCAGAATCGTTGCAATCATTCAAATGCCATTCTCCAAACTCTTCTTTGAGTATAACACTGAAATCTCAGATTAATATGTGTGGAGCAACAAGGACACCTTGAGGCAAGTTAGAAAAATGCAAAAATTTCTATTCCACATGGATACAGGAGGACTTACAGATTCTCCACAAGCCTGAATTCCTTGGAATCGCCACATGATGTAAATACACTCTTAAAACTGTTTGGCTAAGTCCCACAAGTTCCACAGACTATTACAAAAGCAGTGCTTGGTCAGCACTCCTGAAATTCTAGAATATATGCTTACCAATTAGGTTAATTTACTTGCTAACAGTTTTGAAGACAGACCTGTTTATACAACACACTAATCTTGTTCCGAGTTGCTTTTCTCCTTGTTACAGAAGTAAAAAAAATTCCTTCCCACTGCTCAGCATAGTATTACACTGTACATATTTTTAAAAGAAAAAGTATTAAAATAGTGAAAAGGTTTCTGAAGAAGTATTAAATGCAAATCTACATAAAAATTAAATTTTCACAGTTTGTTGTCACTCTCTAAAAGTTTCAAGTATTCCTTTAAATTTGTACCTTTGAAAAACTGATACAACAGTAAACATTTTCCAAATGAGTGGAAGTGGGAAGTGGAAGAAATCTTATACTTCTTGTTTGGTCTAAGATTTTTTTTGCACGTGAAAAAGCACTTTTTTTTTTTTAAATATAACCTCTAAGTTAGAACTGGAGTTGTGGGGCCATTTGTAGAGCTTTCTGTTGCCTTAGTGCTATCTGCAGCCTTGGAATCATCACATACTTCAGAAACCTCATTTTCCTGTGGCGTTGATGGAGTAAGATCAATAGTGATCAGATCAGTTTCCTGATCTGTTTTTTCTACTTCACTACAAAATTCAACTTTATCTTCCTGCTGGCTGTTCTTCTTTATTTGTCCATTCTGTGCAGGGTAGGTACTGGCAATGGTGTCATACAGAAATTGGTAATGTTCCTTAAATATAAAGAGAAGAAGTTAGTATGAATGGAATGCTCAGAGCCCAAGAATAAACCCATTCTTTCTCTGTGTTCTTAAATTTCAGCAATCTAACATGTAGTTCAACATGCAAGACTGCATATGAAGCAGCTTTGGCAGTTTTTGGCATACAAGTCTTGCTTCTATGGTCTATTCTGATTCACGTGTATGTAATGTCTCTGTAAGCTGCCTGCATCAGACGTTCCAAGTTGAGTCACTCGGTACCCTCTTGGTTCACAAAGTCCCCAAAATAGGTTTTTTAGAGTACTTAAGTTGTAAACAAGATGTATCGTAATGAGTGTAGGAAAGTCATCTAATTACCTGCTCCATATCAATGACACCTAGATCTGGTTTGTTAGTAACTGCACAGTGTATACCACAAAGACACAATTCGTCTGGAGTGATTTAAACATAACAAGCTGATGGCTGCTAGCCTGTGAAATGAAGTTAGCCTCCTAACTCTGCAGAAGGTAAGGGACACTGTGCACATACATCCCTGAAGCAACTGCAGAAACATCAATTTATGCTATTTGTAATGTTACAATATGCACCCTTCCACAACAGTGTTATAGAATTGCAGCTGTGGACATCTCACAGACTCCTTCATTCTTATCAGTAACGGCCAATTCCCAGATAGCGGTGAGTGGCTCTGAATGTCCTGACTAGAATTAGCATTCCCTATGCAGAAATGATGCATAAGGTTACGAGGATATTAGTGACCACAATAAATAATCTCATATTTGTTTCTGGCAATTCATAAGATTTACTTACAAAGGTGGAGACCACTCCCAGCCTGGAGCGACGAAGAGCTTTTACTACTTGGAAAACATCTATTACTTCTTCTATTTCTGCACATTCCAAGAGGGTCATTAAAGCACAAAATACACCAGTCTGCTGTGATCCATCACTAGAAGGTGATGTAAAATGTACACGTAAATTTAAAATGTAAAATCAGCAAGTCCTCTGACTAAATGTTAGATCTATTCCAAAGTCTACAGAGTGAATTACATTCTCAAAACATTTTCACTCGACTGAAATTGTTACAATTAAGAATATCTGTAGGACACACACAAGACATAGTTTATCTAGAGGCTACCTGGATCTTATGTGGCCACTTACGGGGTAAGAGAGAAATCAGAAGCTTCAGACTTACAGTCTCAACAATTGTTAGCAGGATTATCCTCTGTTTTAGACAGTACGCGAGGCTATTCCTGGAAATGGCCCCAAAAAAGAGGGAGCGAGAGGTGAACCTGACAGCTCTGCTGGATCCTCATTATTAGTATGCTACAAGAGCACTCTGACCTATCATTTCTTCTCAGGATATGTGTACCAGGCAAGAGTAGCTAGCTCTGACCACCTACTCCATGCCCACGCCTGCCAAAGAGAAGCATGCTCACTTTTCAGCACTACAAAAGGTCAAGCTTGAGCAACTCAGGGAATCTTCTCAGGAGAGCTGAGTCTCCAGACACATGGAAAGCCTTGTGGTAAAAGGTAGGCATCCCAAAACTGTGGTTGCTATGTATATCCAGAACTTAGGTTAAGGTACGTGCTGAATTCAGACCTACCGGCAGTGGACAACAAGCGGGACATTGCGGCTAGTCCTGTGGTCCTCAGTGACTGGTCTGGCTGGGACTTTTTGTTTAAGGTTGAGAATCATGCTGACTAAATCTTTGGGGTTTTCCGGAACATCCAAGCCACTCCACTTGTGATACTGATACTGATACACCTTCTGTGTTTCTTTCGTCTGAAAAACAGCAGCGGAGTAGTCGTCAATGTTCAAGTTAAAATAAAGGTTTACGTAGTACACCTATTGCAGATGATTTACAAAAGAAAAAATATTTTCCTGAGGAATTGCATGGTGATGTGAGTTCCACCTTGTGAATATGAGGTAGGTAGACATCCAAGCTTTGCTCAAAGTACAAAAGACAGCTGACCTCCTGAGACTCCACTATTGTCTCCTCAGTGATTCACTAAATGGGAAATTTGAGCTAATTTATAGTATTTATCATGATTGGCTGCTGATCTGGACAAGAAAAATATTTCCATTTCTTAGAGCAGCGGGAACTGTCCCTTCTCTTTCTTTAGGCTAAGCTTCTAACAGGGAAACAAATTTAAAACTTCTTTTTGGAATTTGCAAAGAAATTTTTACCTTCAGATTTGTAACATCAAATGCACGTATGGTATAGCTAGGACAGAAGTTGACGTCTGTCATTTGAACTTCTATGCCATCATATGTTTGTTTTCCTTCTCCCCAGTACTGTGCACAGAGTTCCTAAAATGGATAAAAGTACAAGTTAGTGCTTACCATTCAAACCTCCTTTTATTTTATCTTCCAAATGCACTTTTGACTTTAAAGTAGGAGGAGCGTCACTGTATTTTAAAATGCAGCATTATACACGCTTCCCCTCAAAAATTCATTAGAAAATAAATTAAGAAGGTAAATAACAGAACAAATTGTATTGGAGATCCAAATTTCTTATCCTATGAAACACGCTTAACTGGAGGAAGGGAAGGAGAAAGTGCAGTGCAGTGTTTTCTTTGCATATAGAGGACCCTTATTATGTCAGTGTGAAGATGATGCCCTCACTTGATCTCCTTCTTTCAGCTCTGTCAGCATAACAATGACTTTGACTTTTCTTTGGAAGACCATTTGCCAGAAGTCAGAGATAGTTTCCTGCAGTGGTCCCTGTGTTGCAATCATGGCTTTCGGACCCCAGTAACCCTATAAAAGAAAGTTTTAATATTTTTTTCTTAAATTCATTTGAAATGTGATTGTCAAGCAATAGAACTCATTGTCATTCAAAGACCACCCAGTGAAATAAACTAATGAACCCTTCTGTTTATAGGGAAAATATGCCTATCGCAGTAAGCAACGGTCTTAAAGGAATTCTGTGAGACAAATGACATTAAACCCAATCCTCCTAACGACAGTATCACTTCCAGATTGACAACAAGGTATACTCACGCTGCAGTAGGTGAGACCTCACCCTGCCCTTTCCTGCAAAGCGTATTTTTAAGGGCTAAAACG